ACTTTTTTCCTCACACTTGCATGTGGTGGCTTTGTAGTTTTAAATCATTTCCTTGTCTATAGTTCAATATTCTGCAATAGCCTTCATAGACACATTATACCTGAAAGAGATGAAAAGCTTTGTCACAGAAAGAATCTTGCAAACAAAATAGGCTTTAACGTCCTCTGAACCACAGTGCTATGAATATCAACACTGAGCACCCAGCGCACAAATGGGATAAAACTTTGAGATAATGATGTTGATTAGAATATCGATCACTAAACCCACCTGTTTATAACTTGAGCTGTAGAAAGCCACCCACACATTGTCATTAGTCATCAGCCTGCTCCTCACAGCTCATTGCAGCAAGTGTGCGTCGCCACCATGATTTAACTCAGCATCCAGTTCTGAGGGGGTGGAAAGTGTTTATCATGCAGCGCCGTCCAGTTCCAATGAGATGGCAGAATGTAGACCAATCAATTGTGGTGAAGCCAGGTTAATTCACTTTAGATTCGTTTGCATCTCCAAGGGCCTTCTGCTGCATGAGCGAGGTCGCAAAGATGTGCCCAGTGATAGGCAGCAAGTCTTTGTTGCACAGGACGACATGGACACATGAGGGATTTTGGGAGTAACATGTTAGTGTCTCTTTGGCACCGTATTCAGTGCTCCTGTTCATATGAAGGCAGTCCTTTCCTAGAAATGTATGACAAGCTTGTATGTCCGCTTATGTGTCTCATTTTATAATCCAATAGCTCATTTTTGTTTTTACAGAACACCTTTGCTGTTTTTCCCTCTTTGTTCTCAAAGAAAGACATATACTGCTCAAAATGCTATTACCTTGTTTAGATGTTTAGTCAAGGTAATACCAGTCTCATTGAATGACCACCTTTCAATAAGAACTTTAACACACAAATGATCTGTGTATGACACATTGAGAGTCGATCAAGTATATCTAGTAACTAGAGAAAAGCAGTACAACGCATTTTCAGGAGAATATAAATTCCTCAAACAACTATATAACTTTAAATACATCTACGATTTGGGCTTAGGAGGGAACGATTGGCTTAGGTCAATTTTAACCTCCAATTATGGACAGTGTTTGGAGTTACGTAGTAGTGATTACTAGTAACATTTAAAGCAACTGAAGTTACATGCAGATTTAATCTAACAGTCTTCGCTTTGTTCTCACAGAGTCAGATTAAATCAAATTTAGTATTTCATTTGACAAAAAAAGCACATTACAGTTAAAGCAGATTGTGTGAGACAATACTTGGGCTGATACCACTCGAAAACAGTATGTGTGACAGCGTTAGTTTGGCAGTGAAACTACATTTTAAAACGGTGATGGTGTAATACTATACATTTCACATTTTCACCCAGTAACTTTTAATATAATATATCATCCTATTTAGGCTGACATGCCCTACACTGTTCATTCACCTAATTCAACTAATTCTCGCTAACTTTGTTTTGTAAAATCAAACCTATTTTTAAAGTGAGTGATACACTTTTCAAAAGTAGGAACATCTAGTTTGTTATTTTCAACTTGGTATTAGCACAGCATAGTTAAACCGTACCTCCAGATATAAAATGCAATGCACTATTGATTATTTTGACATTGATCATATACAGCCATATTAAATGTTATGATATTTTATAATTATTACTTTGTTCTTATCTTTGTATTTAAACACAATACGACTTTAAAGTTATAGTGCTTTTTAAATTATTTCACAGCGCTAAATTCATATTTAAATGACTGCTGTATTAATGTTCAGTTTCAAATGACTAACTACTCGCTCAAAATATTGTCCTTCATTTTCATCACAGTTTATTCTGTGAAAAGTTTATACTCGTATTCATTGTCTGCATCTGTGTGGCAGCTTTGTGCAATAAAGAATAATTAAAAAATGTAAGTGTTAAAGCAAAATGCCCACTATTCAAGTGTTAAACATGTTTTTGTTGCATGTTAAACAACCGTTCTTCCTCTAGCTGGCAAACAGCTGCACCCAGTGTAGTACAAAGCAAATATCACGGCCCTCTGCCCATCTACCTTCACATGAATACATTTCACACCTGTTCTGACTGATTTGTTGACCATTTCAGTCACATATCAACCAAAATTGATTATAGATTTGAGAATAAATATCATATGCTCAACCTTTGCCGGCTGTCAAGCTAGGATAAATACATTTGTTATCACTGCAATTTTTTTCGTTAGCGCTCATCTCAATTGATTTTCACACAAGATCATCAATCAAGGACTTCTTAATAGAAACTGTCTGAGTGCACATATCTGCCCGTGGAGAATTATCACCCCAGGCTCAGGTCAAGCACAGATGTGATCTATTGTCAGTAAGATGAATTGATGTTTTTCCCTCCATTACTGCGCCTTATGAGGAGCTTTGGTAACAGATAGTGTGAGAGGGAAAGGAGTTGAACAGAAAGAAAAGGAAAGTCTGGATAGATACGGCTAAAGTAGTTTAACGCCAGCCCCAAGACTCTAAGCTTTTAAAATATTCACAGCCATTCTCCATCACCTTTTGCCCCTCTAGCTGGTATGAGAAAGAAGTGAAATGAAATCAATAGCAGTGCCAGTCCTGTGCTAGCCATCATCCAACATTTATACCAAATGAAAATGCAACTTTCAGATTGACCCTGCAGTCCTGTGAACGTTGTTGCTTATCAAAACAATAATGTAAACATTCAAAATGCTACGAACGTAATTATTCACAACCGCGTCATATGCCCTGCCGTACACTGCAGCAATTTGCATTCAAATGATCTGCCAATGATTAATAAGTATGGCAAAGTGGGCCACTCGTCGGTATCATAAATGACTGACAATAACACTATCTGGCATCAAAGCAAAGCCATATGGGCCTTCAAAGTGTCATTAACTTGGTCATTTCAACCAACTGATGCAGATTACAGGCACAAGTTGAGTGCAGAAATAAAACATGAATACTATTGTATTATTATATAAGTTAGTATATTATATTATATTATGATTGTGATTATTACCATACTTTTCCTCATAATTCACTGCAAACGAAATATCCTTAAGTGGAAATATAGTAACTTCTGGAGATGAGGTCAAATTCCTTTAGTGGCATCTCAGAGCAGAATAGGCAAGCTGATAATTGTGTTATTAAGCAATAAAATCTTTCAGATATGGCCTCATTTGGCTATGATTACATACAGTAATACAGCTCTCAGTTTTGCTTAAAAAAGCAGTATTTTCACATAGCCATTTTTCAATCAAGACAATGTCTGTATGAAATAATTTTATTTACAGGATATTGGAGGGAAAAAGCTTAAACGATAGCATACCAAGTGACCTATTTTAAGAAGATACAATGGCTCCAGGACAATTAAAGGTTTTCCTATGTGACCATGAAAAGACTTGATTAAATAAAAAGCCACAATATATGTCACACACAGATTGAAATAGAAAGGAATTTTAGCATTTGATAGTCATATCTGCACTTCAACCAGACGTGCATGGTAATTATAATGTGCTTAATCCCCCCCCCCCCCCTCCTGCTGACTTGAATGTTATAGACAGATACATTGTATTTCAAAATGACAAAAACCATTTAAATGAATACTTTGAGATTTCAGTATAATTTCTGTTTGTTTTATTTTATTTTGAAGGAATGGCAAACGCTGAGTATGGTGCACTGTAGGGAGACTGCAGCAACAGTATGAGATGTGCACACTAGAGAGCAGTCTGTTCCCTCTTTTTGTCTACTCCCCTTACGCTCTTCATACTTTTCATACCAGAGCTCCCGAGAAACACATCATCGCTCAGAACCCTCATTTACACACATATTTACACCTCCAAGTGGTGCAGCTTTCATCAAACATTTTACATTACACAAAACACAATGAAGGATACTGTATGTGCTAATTGTCTTTAAGCTGCTGGATATTGTCCTTATTACAAATAGATGAAATGGTGTTTGTAAGGGGCCCGGAGAGTTGTCATTGATTTGTTTAATATAGTGAAAAGATACATCACTCCTTTTGGAGGGTCTATGAGAAAAAAGCAATGAGTCATACATAGCTTCAGATTTTTGTTACTGCTTTCTTTACTTAGACAAATAGTTTTAGGAATATAAAATCATTCAGACAAAAAAAACTGGCAATTATACCAAATGTTTGTTCACATATAATGGGGTTGAAAAAAAGAACTACATATAGCAAACCAGCACAGTGAATAAACACATATGTGAACAATATGAAGTCTAAAATATACCTTAGATTCTGTCCGTCAGATTACGATATATGTGCGACTTCTCTTTAGCGATGCCTTTTTTTTTGGTTGAACTCACCGCACAGGCTCTCCAGTCCTTGCGCTCAAATCTGCGTCTATAGACATTTGCTCACGCTTTTTACATACAAATGACGTTACTGTAAATGGCAATTCATTTATTTAGATTTTTTCTGTATTTTACAAAAAGAAATAGATAATCTTGTCTCTTTTTTATCCAAACTTGCACTTTGTTTAATATATTTTACATAGACTTTACATATTGAACCCAACTTAAACATATTTTATATTTTAAACGCTTGTCAAATATTGAGTTTACCATAGTACAAATGGTTCACCCATTGTTGTTGACCTGTCTTCAGTCCATGTTTAATTCCAAACAATAAGTAGAAGTCCTGAAGTAGAAAGGCGTGTTAAAGCTCATAAATCCATCCATGAGTGAAAATCCTTAGTGCTCTAACATATTCCTCCCTGTTGGACTGTCAAACATCAACAAGTTAAAGAGTCAGGTCGCCATTATGCCTCACAGCCTTATACAGAGCAGAGGACAACAGTGTAGTTGTCAGCTGCATAAAGCGCTTGCTTGCAGTTTAATTTCACAGTGAGAAGCTGGGTGAACTGGGTGGTGTCTAAATTATATTTTATAATCCATTTGTCCAGCAATAGTCCCCTCCCCTGTGTATCCAAAAAGGGATTGACTGTATATCCACATAACCACAGGTAAATATGTAGTCACTCAACAGGATCACACCTCACATTCCCGGGAAGGTTGCTGTTGACAAGTGCATGATCCATATTCATTTATGATTACTAAAGCTCCCTCGATATGGTTGGGCTTGTAGTCGACGTAGTACTCTGGCGTTGAAATGGCAGCCATCTGCTGCATGCTTTGCTTTTGCTTCTTACGTCGCTGACTGCTAAAGCACTGCCTCAGTTGTCGTATTCCAGCAGGAAAGCACTTCCACGCCACATAGAGCATGAGAACGATAATGAGAAAAGAAAAAATTAGCGCCATGGTTCCAGTCACCACTTTATGGATCTGCATGGTACTCTCCAGATCATCATTGCCCACTGTGACAGTGAAGGAGCTGGTGACCACTTCGCTGCCTTCACCTTCATAGGGATTGGGGGTAAATGGACCCAGCAGAACTGAGCCACCATGGGCCAGATCTCTGGTGGAGGCATACAGACCTGCTGTAGTCACCTCTATGGATGTATCCTCACAGAGATGAAAAGCATACACTGCATCCAGCACATCCTCGCCCTGTGCCGTGTCTGGGCTGGAACACTGTAGGGAACTGTCACGCTGGCCACGGAAGGCACTTAGCCAGGAGGCCAAGGCACATACATTCCGGGTGCACTCCCACTCGTTTCCCGCTAGGGTGATGCTGTCCAATGATGACCATGAATCCAAGATGCGCTGGTCCAAAGCAGCCAGGCGATTAGAGTCTAGCATCAACACCTTGAGGCTGGGGCTGCTCTCAAAAACATGCGGCTCTATATATTCAATTTCATTGGATGAAAGATCAATTTTCTCTAGAAAATGCCATGTCCATTCAAGAGTATTCACAACAATAGTGGCACGGTTATTGTGCATGTACAAAGTACGTAAAGAGATGAGGCGTGGAAAGTGGGCCAAGTTCACTTTAACCAGTTCATTGTGCTCAAGGTGCAACTCCGACAGCTTGAAGAGGCCGGCGAACGAGTTCCGTGCCAGGCTTTGCAGTTGATTATATCCCAGGTCCAGGAACTGCATGCTTCGACAGTCTTGAAATATTCTCACTGGCACAAATTTTAGGGCATTATATCGTAAATGTAAATTGGTGAGCTTTCTAAGGCCATGAAATAAGTCTGGCTCAAGTGCCTGAAGCCTGTTGTATGAGAGGTCCAAAATGCGTAGGTTTGGGAGGGGCTTAAAGGTACCATTGGGCAGATTCTCAATTCTGTTGCTGCTTAGGTCCAACTCCTTGACACGTCTTAGTTTGTCAAAAGCCCCCTCCTCCACAATGTCAATGTTGTTGTGGTCTAGGTAGAGCCAGGTGAGCTGTGACAGACCCGACAGTTGGCCTTCACGCAGCTCAGTCAAATTGTTCTCTCTCATGGACAGACCCATGGCACTGCTGAGATTGTGAGGAATGTCTGTGAGATTGAGCCCCTCGCAGTACAGCAGCTTGCTGTCGCAGCGACACAGCCTGGGACAAACCCCCTCCACCAAGGGAACTGTTTTCAAAAAAATGCTCAGTGAATACAATATCAACCCCGGGGGCTTCTTCAGTGGCCACTTTAAGTACAGTCCAATTAAAAGGAAATCCATTAGCATAAATATCCAGGGATGTCTTTGAGAAAATGTCCATTGAACCACTGTGGGATTTGTATTACTGCCACACCACATTCATTGCAAAATAATTATCTCCTTTTGCTGCATTGTTAAATTTAGTTTTATTACCAAGACTTGGTCATCCATCTATTAATTATGTAAATGCCTGAACACTATTAATCATACAGTACTGGATTTGAGATTAAAAATATTAAATAATCAAACTGTCCTCCAATTGCTTATTTGAAAATATTTTTACTTACCCCTATCGAATAGCTGACAATTCATTCAGCGTCTCGCTATGAGCCCCAACACTAATTATATACGATTTTGAAAAAGACCCCACTGTGGTACAGACCCCCCTCCCTTCGCTCTTTTCAGTGGGCACCAGATCCTTGGCAGGCTTACAATGTCTTAGTTCTCCTCAAGTGAAAGAGAAGGAATCCAAGTAGTTTTCAACGAGATGGTAGGAAATGCATGTCCCTCTGTGTTCATGCATGAGCTCTGTCTCTTCAGCTTCTCTGCAGTCCTCTGCTGCAATGATCAGAAGGAATCAACTCGGGAATAGAAAACTGCACCAAAGTCTTCAAAATGTATCTGAGCTCATCTCTTCACGCTTAAGTTTCAGTTGCTCTGTCGACACACATCATTGTCCACCTCTTGAAGCCATTGGTGACATGTAAGATTTAAATCCATTTAAGCGTGTAATCATGCTTTCAATGATGGATACAAGGCGAAAAAAGGATTTAGTGAGGTAAAGCCTCCTGACCGTTTTCTTGTGTAACCATATTCCTTGTCACGTCAGCAGCTCATGTCGACTGAAAAGCGTCTCGCCTCCCCTGTGGCTCACCGGTCTGTGCTGCTCCCTGGCTGTCCGGTTATTTCTCTTTCCAGCTCTAGAGCGGAGGCTGAAGGCTGCTGCTGGTTGGCAGGCAGGGGCGGGATATGTGGGATGCAAAGAGCGCACAATCCCTCGCAGCAGACCAGTCTACTGACAGTGCATGCAGAAGCACCTTCTGTTCACTGAGTGTCGTAAGCCACTCACAATTCAGAGAGCTCGCTCTCTCCCCTTGATCGCTCACTCGCTGGTTTGCACTGCTCCCCTCCCTCTTGCTCTTCCACTGTGTTTTTTCTGTGCCTCAGACATTTACATATTCCGATGGGCTGGGCTTAAACCTGCTCTATTCCTCCTCCGCCTTCAATGACTCTAATGAATTGGGCTATATATTTTCTGCCTCTGTTTTTGCTATGAGAAAGCTTTGTTTTCTTCTTCATCATCTGAAATGTGATCCAGTCAAACGGGAAAATGTCCTCCACTAGTTATCTCCTCCTTTTTGTCTATGTATGAGATCTACATTCCTGTCAAATATCAATGTAATTTGTCAATAGTCTGCTGCTTAATTTAAGTCCAAGTGTTTACACATATGTACATATATCCTCCTCTTTATTATAAACAACGTTCTAAAACATAATTTTGTACTCTTTTAACAAGAGAATTTTATGTTTATGGTCCTAAGCTGCAAACAATACAATGTTTATGGAGCCTATATTAGGTCTTGTTTGACCAAACACCAAATATATTGACAGTACCTTGCAAAAGTGAAGGACAACTGCAAATTGAAAGCAAAAAAATCTTGACAAGATTTGCACATCTAGAGACAGAAAGTTTAGCCCATTCCTCTTTACAAAACAACTCTGGCTGGGGCTCATCTGTCAAATCAGATGCAAGAATGTTTGTTCATTTTTCTAGGTCCCGAGAAAGTAGTTCTCCTAAGTAAAAGGATGGAAACCCCTGTCCTACCGAGCCAACAGATCTGTAGACAACGCCATAAACCTGGCCTTTCATTTTATCCTTTAATATCTGAGCCCCCGGGAACCTGCCCAGGATCCTGTATGAGGAAAATCCAAAATGGAATATTTTTGTTTGAGGTTTTAGCATGACAATATGCAAAAGGCCAAGCTGCATTAACACCTTCGCTCCCCACTGTATAAACGTTGATCCTTTAGAGCAGGGGTGTCAAACTCATTTTGGTCCAGGGGCCAAGTACAACCTAATTGGATCTCAACTGGGCCGGACCAGAAATTACAAAGTCCAACTTTTTGTGCACATAAACACATTTATTTGAAACTTCCTTTAAAACACTGTCCTTTAATACTCGCTCAGTTTTAACGGTAAATCTGTTACAAACTTAAATGTAGCAGGGAGCTTTTTATGCTGCAAATAATTTAATGCATTTTCATTAAATTCTAAATGGCATTTCACAATATTTATATTTGTATGTTAGCTTTGTTTTAAGGCTCATTACAGAGAAAACTTGATCACTAAGGTAAAGTAGGTAGATAAAAAAAAGCACTTTAACACAGCACCTCAGCTTAACCCTCTTCAGTGTGGTAAGGTCCACGGTTATGTTATTGTCACAGAGAAAGCATCAAACTGATCATGATTCAGTTGAAATGAACAAAACAACTTCCATAACGTGATCCATTCTTAACGACTGCAGTGTTAAGTACAGTCAAATGGCCAAAAATCATCACCTCCATTTGCGGCTTTGTCAGAACACCTGCCTTCTGCCTGCAACATCAGTAACATCAGTCTCTTATCAATGGCAACATGATGTTGGTAAAAGCGTGTCTTTTCTCAGACCATGTCTGCAGCCTGTATGAGAGTTTTAACAACTCTCTCTCACTGTACGGCTGCGATGCTAATGCTATGTTGTTAGCACTCAGGTAGCTTCCCTTTACGGTAGCATCACTAACCTCTCGCTCTGGGCACAAACAGACTGCTGTTTCTTCAGGGCCAGACACGTTTTCTTCTGTCTTCTCAATTCTCTGCTCAAAGTGCCATATTTTTTGCCGAGTCTCGTAGTTTAAGATGATATTCCTTCAGCACTGCCACTTATTGCATGACACCAAGCATACCGGGGTTTCATTCTCCTCCGCAAAAAAATAAGAATTAGTCCACTTTTTTTTAGAAAAACCTGACACTCGATGTCCACTTTTCGCCTTTTTGACAAATACATTTTGTTGAGGGTGTCACTGTCAGTCATAAAACACGCTCTGGTGGAGCCACTACAGACGCACTCGACTAGCTGCTGAGCGCGGCGCTGCGGCAAGTGGCGTCGCGGAGCCTCGCGGCGTAGATTTTTTTATTTAAATTATCATTATTATCATTTTACATAAATGAGCCGTGGATTCGAACAGCGGGCCGCATGAATGACACCGCTGCTTTAGAATGTATATAGGGATCTTTCTATTTATGTGCAGTGAATGGCAAACAAGAGTCTTAATTTAAAATCAAATGGAGTAGGCCAGTTGACTTTGTTTGGTCTGAACGGGCTGTAAGAACAAGAACGTTTTTTTTCAGTTTGTTTTTTTAACTACAACTTTGCTTATACAAAAAATTCAAAACCAGACAAAACTTCAGATTCAGATTCAGATTCATTTATTTGCCATTTGCAGTAAAACCACATTGGAAAAACTGTTGTTAAGGAAGTTTCTGCCCAATGAAGGAGAAAACTCAAAAGGTCTTTGTCTTATCAAAAGCGTAAGTTTATTATACACACGTGCGGAGAGCCAGCATATACACACAAAGGCAGCATGTACCAGCTCTGGGCGCAGAGCCCCGAGTTTCCTGTATACAAGACACACACGAAAGACAGTCCCGCCCACAACAGATGGGAGGGGGCCACCGGTGAGGAGGCGCATGGGGAGCGTTGGCGCCGTCTGGGATGGAGGTGCGAACAGACAGACAATGGTAGAAATGCAGGTCATACAGATGCAAGACGCGAAAGACACAAGGGTGTGACAGACAGCAGGATGTAGAAAATGCACACATACAGACCGATAGATATGCAAGAGGCGAAAGGGGGGACAGTGATTTGCGCCATTGTCTGTAGGTGTCGGGGGGCCCGGCTCCTTCCTGGAGCAGGGACATATGAATAGAAACAGGCAGGGTTGCTCCTTCCTGGAGCAGGGACATATGAATAGAAACAGGCAGGGTTGCTCCTTCCTGGAGCAGGGACATATGAATAGAAACAGGCAGGGTTGCATGAATACTAGTCGCTTGCCATCACACTGTGCAAGACTCCCCCAGTGTGCACCAGGAGGCGGCACACACCGGAGCTCTTGCCACGGCGCCATCTTTACGGCGCCATGCATCGACCACTTGATGTAGAAGATTTATACTTTTATTTAACGTCAAAAATAGGATGGATTTGAATTTGTCTTGATGTACTGCTCCCTTCACACTTTGGATGGACGTGTGGCACAGCCAGAAGTGCCGCTTCTATTCACTCTCCATGCTGCCAAATTAAACCCATGGGCTTCTTTGCAATATTGGGCACACACTGCCTTACTACGTCACTGACAGATCGGTGTAATAATAAAGAGAGAGCCGGATCCCCATTAGCTCCTCTAAGGTAATAGCTAGTCTTTCAGGGACCACAAAGCAACTTCTGTCAAGAAGCACATCATAGCATACGTTGAGAGGAAGCTTTGCCAAACTGCGGTCGTTATACTATGAAACCTTTTTTGTAAATAAACTAAATAACAAAACAGAAGTAAGTAAGTAATCTAGTAATCTTTTATTTATATACCGCCTTTTCACTACAGATCTGAGTCTCAAAGCGGTTTACAATTGTTAATTTTGGGCATTTATCTCTCACTCCACACAGAGATGGGGGCGGGGTCGCCGGTACAGGAGGCGCATGCTAGACATATTTTTAGTGGTAGGGGAAACCGGAGTACCCGGAGGAAACCTACGCAGACACGGGGAGAACATGCAAACTCCACTCAGA